GAGTGCAAACTTGTATAATCACTGCATGAATCAATATAGCAATTCCTCAGAAAATTGGGAATCTATCTACCTCAAGACCCAGCTATACCACTCTTGGGCATATACCCTAACTATGCTCCATCATACCACAAGGACACTTGCTCAACTATGTTCATAGTGGCTTTATTCTTAATAGTCAGGAACTAGAAACAACTTAGATACAAAGAAAATGTACATTTACACCATGGAGTATCGCTCCACTATTAAAAGCAATGACATCATAAAATATGCAGACAAATGAATGGAACTAGGAAAAAAATCATCCTTAGTGAGGTAACACAGACCCAGAGGGCTCAAGGGGAGATCTCATGGATTTCCATGGGAAAAGGAAATAGAATAGACTTTGTGATGGGTCTGGAGGTGTGTGAGATTGGAAATAGGAAGGAACACACGGGGAGGGGGAGGGAGAATACTGGGAGAGACAGCTGGAATTGAGGAACATTTTGGAGGCAGTGTGGAAACATAGTGCAGTGAAAACTCCCTGGGATGTTCAAGAGTGACCTTATCAAAGAATTCTAGTATGATGGATATGGTGTCTGAACTGGCAAGGCTTCCAGTGGAGGGATTGGACCACCAGCCCAGCCACAAAACCTTCAACTTACATTTTGTCCTGCCTGCAAGATATGCTGGGGTAAAAGTGGAACAGAACTTGTGGGAGTGGCCAGTCATTAGACTGGTCCAACTTGAGGCTGACGACATGAGAGAGAAACCACACCTGACACTGAGTGGATAGCCAGGAACCAGAGGCAGGACAGCCAGAGACACAGGGCAGAACCAAACATGCCTGGGGCGGGGGAGACTCAATACTAATGATAGTCTGCTCTACTCATAGATCTGTAGCCAGCCCAATTGTCATCAGAGAAGTGTCATATAGCAACTTATGGGAGCAGATGTAGAGACCTACAGCCAAATCCTAGGTGGGACCAGGAGAACCCACAAAAAATCAGGGGAAAGGATTACAGGAGCCAGAGGGATTGAGGACACCACAGAGCACAGCCCACAGAATCAACTAAACAGGGCTCAAAGGCAATCACAGAGACTGAGGTGACAATCATGGACCCTGTATGGGCTGTATGAGCTAGGTCCTTTGCATAGATGTTATGTTTTTGTAGCTGGGTGTTCCTGAAGAACTCCAATGGTGAGGCAAGGGTGTGTGTCTCTGACTCTTGCCTGCTCTTAGGACCCTTTTCCTCCTACTGGGTTGCCTCATCCAGCCGTGATATGTATGCTCTTACTAATTAGCTGGTCTTCCTTAAACTGACAGAACTCACAATCAAATTCTCCCCAGAAGTTTTGCAGAGACCTACAAGCTAACTCCAAGATGTGTCAGGAGAGAAGGATGACCTAAAATAGCCCACAAAATTGTGGAAAGGGTTACCAGTGTTGAATAAACCCATGTGCAGGAGGAAGATGATGGTGGCCAAATATCAGGGAGCCCAAATTGAATCTGGAGACATACCTTCACAAACACAACAAAGGACAAAGACAGGGAAGAGGTGAGACAGTTGCTGTTAGCAAGCAGCTCTAGAACAACTGGACATTTACAGGGTAAAGAAACTGCAACCACTACCTCCCATCTTAACTAAAACTAACCTGGAATGAATCATAGACCTAAATATAAAACAGAAAGTTGTATGTTTTTATGAGGAGATACAAAGTCATTATGACCTTGGGCTAGGCATAAGTTCATAGACATGAACTCAAAGTAAAATTCATAAATTTTAAAAATCTCAACAAATTGGACTCCATAAAAATTTTAAATTTTTTTCTCTATGAAATATACCAAGACAATGGAAAAATTAATTCAAAAATTAGGGGGAAATATTTGAAATTGTGTATCTTATAAAAATCCTACATCTATAACCATATAACCATATAAAGTACTTTCAAAGTACAACAGTAAAGCAAATCACCAACTAAACCTTTAATGTTTGAAGAGAAACTCCAACAAAATGATAAACAAATGTCAAGGAGGCACAGGGGGAAAAAAAATCACCTTTAGTGATTGGTGAAATTCAAATCAAATCCATGGTGATTCACACAACTATTTTTTGAAACACAAGAACTTCCATGTGTGGCTGGTGAGAATGCAAAACAGTATAATATTTTGGGGTTTTCTTATTAAGTTAAATATATACAAAACGATCTGGCAATCCCACTGCCATGTATTTACCCAAAATAAATCAGTTTATTCTATTATTTTCCTGGGACTACCACAACAAATTGCCACAAAGTTAGTTACTACAAAAGCAACAGCAATACATTCTCTTTCAGTTCTAGAGGCCAAAAGTCCAAAGGTGTAGGTACCAAGAAGGTCTATACTCCTCAGGAGAGTGGGTTCTAGACACTCCCAGCTTCTGTTAATAGCAGTTCCTGGCTTTTTTTCCTCCTTCACTTCCTTGTTTTACTCCCTCTCTGTCTCTTCCTTCATCTCAGCTTCTCTGTGTGTCTTCTTCACTTTTAAGGATACAGAGGACTTATGACTTTCCTGAATAATCCAAAATAATCTTATTTTAAAATCCTTACCAGCACCTTCAAAGACCTTTTTCTAAATAAAGTAACATTTAATTAGTTCTAATAATTAGAATGCAGGCATGTCCTTGCAGGATCCTCAGTGAGTCCATATTACTTATCATCACATTAAAATTTGTCCATGAATGTTTACCATACCTCTACTCACAAGTGTCAAAAGCTAGTCTCCATGTCGTTATTTGTGGGCTGGCAATCCTGACAAGAACTGGCAGCCCACCACCACTACTACTACAGGCACATTCTGGAGGAGTCAAGCCCACAGAGATGGAACAATAGAGACTGTGGTTGAGGAAACAACTGACTGCAAAGGGAAGCAGGAGAAATTGGCGAATGGTATAATTGCTTTATGTCCTCATTGTGCTGACTCCATGGCTCAAAGATTTGTTCCCAGAACTACACACCAAAATGAATGAACTTTTCAATATGTAAATATAAAATTACATATCTGAAATGAGATCCTGGAGCTAAGACTCTGCCAGACATCTTCTTTTGCCAGGTAGACCCCTTTAGACTCTCACAAGTGGAATTCCTAGAAGGACACCAGAAGCCAAAACCAAGAAGGATCTGGCTCCTTCCAATTTCAATTTCTGTTTCCATCAGCCTCACTCGTGCACTGACTTACTCTGGCAAAGAAGCCGTTTCCAATCTCTAGCTTGGTTTAGTTTTTCTGAATTCCTAGAACATTCTGGATGCACCTCCTCCCCTGTCCACCTATGGGATATCTGCATTTGCATTCTTAAAACAGCCTTACATCACCCCAGCACTTCACCAAGAGATACTGAAGTCTGCTAATTTCCTTTCTCAGTGGTTAAGAATTCTTCTCCAAGGCCGGACAATAGTGGTACATGCCTTTAATTCCAGCACACTGGACACAGAGGCAGGCGGATCTCTGTGCATTCCAGGCTAGCCTGATCTACAGAGTGAGTTCCAGGACAGGCTCTAAAGCTACACAGAGAAACCCTGTCTCCAAAAAAAGTAAATAAATAAATAAATAATAAGGAATCCTCCAAGCTTCTCTGTACTCCACATTCTCTTCAGTACTCTGACACCTATGCATGCCATTGTTATTATTTCCAGTTAAAATGACCAACGTAATTTGTTTTTTCAACTAGAATTTGACTGATATATATCCAAGGTCTTTCATCCAAGGGCCCTACAGAATCCTGCATGATCAGTTCAACTGTTTCATCTCTGGCCTTGTCAGCTTCTTCCACATCACTCGCTCTAGGTCTGCCTGCCAATTCACAGAAACTGTGTGTCAACCTCACTGCAGCAATAGAGGAAACTATATATAACTTAGTCTCTCGTGCCAATGAGTTGCAAGAGGTAAACAGATGGACAGGAAACTCTATATCAAATAGACCTAAAGGTATGAACCAAAAGCAATATAAAGACTCAACATCAGCCAAGATTGTATATGTAGATGTATAAAGAACTGGGGAAGGTTAAACCATTGTATAAAGAACTGGGGAAGGTTAAACCATTGCTACATGTGTGAGAGTAAAGAATTAAATAATGAATGTGCTTATTTTCCTTGTTGTAATCAGCATCTTTCCCATTTAAAAATGCATGGTAAAACCCTTATAGGTACACTGATATAGTAATATACTGGGTAGGAAAAGAGATGGACTGTAGATGTAGCAACACTACTTCTGATTTTTCTTGAGACCAAGTAAGTGGTACAAGGACTTCATTATATTATATAAGAACTAAAACATTACATACTTAAATTTTTTTATGTGTCTCCAAAATGTAAGGCCTATCATGTCAGGCAGGAAGGCTAAAGGATGGCTCACGGATATCTAGGAAATGTCAGAAGACACTGTTAATAACATAAGGCATGGTGGTTTCTACTGTGTACTCTGAAAACCAACACAGATCTTGCACAGTTTATTAATGTGACCTTGAATCTCTCCTCACTGTGTCTTTATCTCCTCACATGTGGTTATCTTTCCATTGCTTGTCTATGAAGATTAAGTCAATTTGCAGGTATATAACAATTTCTTAGACACTGAATAATATTGAACACTCAAAAGCATTTATTATTATTACTACTACTATTATTATTACTATTATTATTACATAGGAAGACAAATTGAAATGGACCACCACAGACTCAAAACAAATGTATCCAAAATATGTTTTAATCTTGATGAAGTTCACAAATGATACAATTTTGATTTTTCCTGAAATGAATGTACACTCATGTTCTGAGACACCACCAAGGCACAGCATCTCCTCTACCAAGAGTTCCCAGAGGCTACAAGAGGCAGTGATTTCACATCTTCTTAAGGGTCAACAGAGCTGCCATCATCAGTTGGGTGGTTCTTAAAGACCTGTGTCGTTTGTTGCTAGGGAAGCCAGGGGGAGACGCCACCACATGGACTGGCCACAAACTCAGCATAAAAATGATGCAGACAAACACAGAATTAACTAATGTATACTTAGTTTCATTCCTCTCAGGTGACAACAGTGATTTTCTCCAGTATCTATCAAGGATGCAAACATACACGTTGTCCATGGAGCCTTCTTACCAGGTCATTGTTAACAAAAATTTAGTGGTGAATTCAGCTTCACGTAACCTGAGATGAAGAAAAACAAAAAGGAATGGAGGAAGAAAGAAAAGGCAAAAGGAGAGAAGAGAAGAGGGGAGAACATTAAAACAAGGGAAAGAAGAAGGATACAGACACAGAGACCACAGTCATCCTAACAGTGTTGATTTACATAAAAGGCTTCTCTGCTAAGCAGCACCCATGAATTCTGAACTTGGAGTATGAGGAAGCTTAAGCACTGTCCCTATGGACATTGGAAGTGGTGCTAGTTGTCCTGGACACCCTGTAATCTCAGCACTTAGAAATTGGGGAAGATGATTAGGAATTCAAAGCCAGCCTCTATATAGATCTGGAAGCCAGCCTGGGAAGTTTGAAACTTTCTCAAAAGTAAAAAAGATACTGAAGATGCTGGTAGTGGTGTGCTCATAGCCCTCTGATCTGAACTGGTGAATAGCAACCAAGAGTAAAGCCCTGCAGAAGCTGCACTCATTTGCGAGTCACAGCAATGGGTAAGGTTTGCAGGCCCTTCCTTTCCAAACCCAAACAGCACCCTCTTCCTTTCTCTCCTTGGCAACAAGGTGCTGCTTCCCTGCAAGCTCTCCTGCCACTCTGATTTTAATTTCAAGTTTAGTTGAACTTGACCCTCAGGAAGAAGGCTAGTACTAGACATAGGGGATCAGAAGGTCCTACCACTGACAGTGGGCTTCAGGTTGTGAGTCTTATCTCCCACATCCTTCCTCTCCCAACCCAGAGTACAAAATCACCTTCTTCTCAGGGCCATTAGCTACTCAGGCCTGAAGGTCCCTGCGGCGCCGGCCATAGGTTTTGGAGCCCACATTGGTGGGCACGAAGTTGTTCTTCAGCATACCCCCTGACCTGCTCAGGATGCCCGCTAGCCGATGAGTCACACAGGTGGCAGTCTTGCAGGCTCTCTTCTGGCCAGGGATGCTGATATTCAGGATGGAAATAGAAGACAAGTCTTTTCAGTGAGAGCTGGGGAAGAGCCTACCCCTGAGAACTCCATCCCTTCAACATGCCACTTAACAGTAAGTGTTTCTCCTAAGTGCATTTATCAAAGCTATGACCTGAGAGTTTTTGCCAGAAACTCTTCCCCAAACCATCACCAAATTAAAAAAAGTCTTACCTTGGTAAAACTGAAAGCATCATTTTCAGCATCTTCTCAGAACTGATTATCTGATCCTCAGCAAGCTGCTTGCTGCCATAGCTGCATTACAGAGATGCTCCATCAAACCCTGTGCCCAGCTCACCTGAAGCTAAAGCTATTTCCTAGGCCCTGGCAACTCACAAGCTTCAGAAGTTGACCAAAGCAAAGGTCACCACAACTCCAATTCTTCCAGAAAAAAAAAAATGAGTGAGATGGAAGGGATGTGCTTATTTCAGTATTCAGAAGCAGGAAATGAACAGTTATCCAAATGCTCCAGAAGGTTCCCTCACTGTCTCTTACCCCAAATGTAGTCTACAGCTTCTTTTCTCTCCATTCTCTGACATTCTCAATCACACTTGAAGCTGCTGTTGCCAACTTCAGAACAACAGACACATGCACATGCAGCAAGTTCAAAGGTACAAGCAAAAGAGGAAACCAGGAAGGGCACAGAAGAGCTTGGTAGCACCCGGGACACTTCAGACCCTCTGCAAGTGAGCTGAGGGATCCTTTTTTGTTGGTGTTTCAAGCCCTAAGTTGTTCAGATCTCTACCTACATGTCCAGAACTCATGTATTTAGATTCCCATACCACCAGGGGCTGATCCCATGGGCAGTCAGCAGGTTAAACCAGGCAGGGGGACTAGAAGTTTGGGACGGGGGGGGGGGGGAGTAGAAAGTCAGTTCACACATACTCCACTGGGAAGGCTTGGGGTGCAGTGGGTCAAGGAAAGTACGGGAAAGAGCATAGGAAAAGGGTGACTCTGGCATTCCTCGTGCTATTCTGTCTTTCATGCTATCAGGGGTTTCTCTGGGGGGGGGGGATGCAGATCAACACATGCTTTATCCTTGCATAGTGCTGGAGCCAGGCCAGGGTTAGTCTGTTTCCAGGCATGGGGCACACAAATCGCTGACCCTGTAGCAACGTGCACACCTCTACAGATGCCTTGGACCTACCTCAGACACTTGTAAGTGTCCCAGACTGCTTGTACCCTTCCAACACCCCTTCAAAGGTGAAATGAAGGCTCCTTGCCAGTGTGAAGGAACAACGGATCCTGAAGCTACTAAAACTCCCTGACATTCTAGTCCATCCTCTGGCATCATACTTACCTGCCCTCCTTCAGCTACAGCAAGGTAGCCCCATAGGTGCAAGTCTAACTCCCACAGTAAAAGAGTCTACATCTTCTCATTTCCTTTCCCAAGAATTTTCAGGAGAAAACAAAGTTTTAAAGTGTCTAGCCAGTATGAGTCCCTCTGGTGGCACCGGAACCTCTGTCTTTCACCGAGTCTGGGAACAGTTAGCTTAGTTCCTTGGAGTACTGGCCAGTGTCTCTGTACCTCTCTGGAATAGATCCTCCTGAATCTACCGGGCCCAGGTGAGGAGGAGACTTACCTGGAACCCTTAACCTCCTGCTCCTGCTGCTCCTGCTGCTCCTGCTGCTCCAGCTTGCTGGCCTTCATCAGCTCATAGTAGCTCTGCACCAATGCACCCAGCAGGAGGCTCTTTTCCTGTTCGCTGAGGGTAGCCTCATCTGAGGGTAGGCCGCTCTTCAAGGCTGACCTGTGGAGGTAACAAACATAGCATAGATTCTCATTCCCTGCCTTTCTACTCCTCCAAGTAAGCAGCCCAGCTTCTTCCCTGGGGGCTTAGTGATAAGGTCATGAGGCCAGCGCCCACATGAGGGCGCTGATTTACCAGTAACCAAGTAGGGGCTGCAGAACCACAGTTGACAGATCCCTGGCAGCTGGAAGGGAGTGGAGCTGCACTCCTGATCCAAGCTGATTTACCTGAAAGGTGCTGCCTGGAGGCTGCTGGTCAGGCACAGGATCCATACACTGAGAGCCAGAAATGGAAAGAACTTCAAGAATCCCATGATGTCTCTGTAGAAAGAGAAGAATGGTCCACTCACGAGGACCATAGACCCAGGTTCTAGTCCTGCCCCTGCCACAAGTGCCCTGCTAACTTTTCCTTCACCTCCCCCACCACTGTTCCTTTGTTTGCCAGAAGTCTGTTGGGGAAAATCAAAAGGTAAAGTGTAGTGAATGGCTTGATAGAGCAGTTTGTATTCTCTGTTCTGTGTTCAGAGGAACTACGGGCACTCTTTCGCCTCAGCTCGCAGCGGCGCACATGCGCCAATGCCTCTTTTGCTCTCAGCTGTGAAGAACCACCCAGAGACCCCTGAAGTCGACTTGGATTTCTCACAGGCAGAAAATGTAGGACTACCTGTTCTGAGCAGTTGCCCTGAGGAGACTGGAAAGGTGGGCTGGAAAGAACTAATCTCTCCCATCTGCAGAGTTGGGAGAATTGTATGAGTCCCAGTTAAACTGTCTCAGAACCGCAAAAGTGCTGTTTAGCACCTGGCAAAGGACACCTCTCCCCGCTGCACCCCAGAGGCTTGCTGATGACCCTGGGGCACAAAGGCTGGAAACATCTGACAGAGAAAAAAGATCTGTGCTCCCTAGCCCCAGATCCAAGGACCTCCCATCCCCAAATTGGATAGGATGTGGCAAGACCACCTGCTTCCACCGAGTAGCCACAGACTCGCACCTAGGTGGAGTCGCCCAATTTCCAGCGCGCGGCTGCCGCTGCCGCTGTGGCTGCGTTGTGCTTTAGAGTCCCAATCACTCTAACATAAAATGCCACGACTGCACTTTCTGACTGATCCCCAGCTGGAGGAAGGCAGACATGGATATGGAATGAAGAACCTGGTCAACAAAGGCAGCCAAGTAGAGCTGGTTGTGGTGACGTGCGTCTGTAATCTGCATCCCCGAAATGCTGAGAAAGGAGAATCGCACCGCGTTCGAGACCAGTCAGAGCCATACAGTGAGTTCCAGGCCAGCCTGAATTACTACAGTGTAAAATACTGCTTCAAAAAGATCAACAACGAAGTAGACAAACTAACGGAGAGTAAGCTGAATGAGTTGAAAAGTTAGCTCCTCACCTGGTATCCCGAGTTGGCACAGCGAAAGCCAAGTGTCCACTGGAGAAGAGCACACACGGCCGGCCGTAGATGCCTTGTCCCCAGAGTCCGGGTCTCTTATTCTCTGGTCTTGGGGGTGGGGGTGGGGACCCTCACAAATCTCTCCGCCAATCAGAGCTCTGACCGACTGAGCTTCATAGCGTCATCGCTGGAGCTACCTATACTGCTGCAGCAGGGAGGCAACTGTCCACTGGCTGTCTTTGCCTTGAGGTCACTGCTGAGGAACAGGGTGGGGGTGGGGTAAGGAGACAGAGAGATGGTAGATTCGTCCAGAATGAGTGAGCAAAGGGGACAGAGTTTGGCGTCACGATCTCGTTAACGCCTGAACTCTAGCCTGCAACCTTTTCGCTGCCCCCTCCCATAGGGGCCTGAACTTCCTGGCTGAACTCAGGCAGGGTGAGCAGAAGTCCTGGGCTCTAAGAGGACTTCAATTAGATACAACCAGGAAGGTGACTGCCACGGAAAGGAGCCAGTCCTAGGATCCATTAGGGTACTTCTGGCATGCCTGCCCACAACGGGCGCTCTAGCAGTCCTTCTCATCGCTAGTCTAGAAGGGATGGGAATTAGAGGGTTTTGGGAAGCACACTAACAAACTGCACAGGGCACTGAACATTCTCCTCCCACACCAGATCCTCCAAATCCTGCACTGTGTTTTTTGTCTCCCCTATCCAAACCCAGGACCCCACACTGCAACAGATGTGTAGGTTAATGCACTTCCCTGAGCACTGGCATATTTGCCAACCCCTGTCACTACCAGTGACCAGGTCTCCACTCCCTTCCCCTCCCTTCATCCCCACCACCCTATTCTGTAGAGCTTGACTGCTGAGCCAGGGTCCTGCACCCACCATGTGAGCAGGCATCACAACCCAGGGATCAGCAGGGGACTTTCACACTTAGCACAGTTGCTGGTTAAACAAGCATCTGGACCACCACAGGTGCCTTTGGCATTAACACACCCACTGAGGAATGCTCAGGCTCTCCGGTCTTCAGAATAGCCTGTGCTGTGCATGCACTAAACCAAATCAGCTGAGCTCTGGCCAAAAACAACCCTAGGTGTCTGCTCTCAGAAATAGGCATAAACTATGTGTACACTGCAATAGATGCATCGCCATTCTACCCCAACCATGGACATTGATCAATGCACACGCAGGCAAAGAGACTAAGTATTTCCTCTTTCCTTAACTCAATTTTGTGAGTCCACATTGCTCATTCTCCCTGTTCTCAGGTGGGTGGAGAAGGTACACCTGTGCCCAGAGTTATTCTAAAGAGAACCACCATCTACTCCCAAGGCTTCTGGCTTTCCCCTGCCATAGCTTGATTGCTGTACAAAGAATCCCCAAGGGCCCAAGACTATCCTGAGACTTGTGGAGGTCCACACCTGGCATTCAGCTCCTGGAATCAAAGAGGAACTTGGGGTATGTTTACCCACATCCTCCAAGTCATTTTCTGCTGGAGCAAGAATAGATGACACCACCATCACTCAAGGAAAAGTCCTGACTCAGAAACTCCCACCAGCCTCCAATCCTTATGAGCAATGCGTGAGGCAGAATGAGAGGCAGTTCCCCCAGGAACACTGTAGTGAAGCTAGATGTAGATCAAAGTTGCAGCCAGCAGAGGAGATATAGGGTGGCTTTGTAATGAGTGTCCAGGAGGGGTGCCGCATCAATGCTCTCTAAAGGGTAGTTGCCTTCACTTCTGGATTAAAGGAGAATCATGCACATGGCTGCTGTTTGAGGGCCTTCTCTCCAAAAATCCTGTAAGTAGTAGGGTGGCATCTGTGCTGCTCTTCTGGGTTTGGGACCTAGCGAGTGGCTGTGGGCTATAAAGTTTGTGAGATGAAGAGTATCTTTATCCTGCATCACCAGTCCCTGTACTGCTGTCACTGTCTTTGGGGTCTGGTAAAGCTTGTGGCCCAGTAAGTCCAGGCAGCATCATTCTCCACAGGACACTAGGCCATCGTTTAAAGGAGAGACTGAATAAAGACACTCCCACCCTCCAGCCTGCAGCCTGACCCAGTCATCAGTAACATGCAGGAGGAATAGGAAAGCAAGTAGAGGAACATATTGAGAATCCTGATCAGTTTCCTGCAAAGCCTTAAAAATATGTATTTAGGGGAACATGATGCCTTTGAGATTAGAGTGGGAGGCCCACATAGTCTCCAAAGACAAGATCTGCAACACTAGGACACTTCAGAAGTGTTGAGACAGCCAGAGAACAACTAGGGCACATTCCCCAGACATATGTGTACTCTTCACACAGCCCCAGCCTGGTGCTGACTAACTAGGGTAGAATATATAGTAGTTTCTGAATAGGTATCCAACATCCCTGACATCCGACAAAAATAAGTATAGCCAGTTCAGCCAGTTAGCCACAATTATTTGACCTGTTTTTTTTTTTCTTTCCTTTACCCAGTGAATGGTGCATATTATACACAGAACAAATTGTCTAAGTCAGAAAGAGTGAAACGGTGAGTCAATGAACACTGTTAGAGGCCATTAGACCGGAATCAGACAATGAATTCATAGCCAAATTAAACTAGATTGTAGACCCAATTTTGAGTCATTAGGTGGAAGTGCACATTGCTGGTCCAAAGACATAAGACATACACCTTTTTATTTAATAAGAGGAATGGGTATACTGAAGAAACTTTCTGGAGTCTATTGTCAGAGGAAGTTCTCCTCAGGAGAGTCCACCAGCTTGAAAAGCAAAACAACCCACTTGGAATTATATTAGTGAATGAACAAGAAGAAAAGTCAGTAAGGTAATTTGCTTTCTAAGTGGAGGAAATTGCATCTTGATTTCCCTGGAACTGGCCTGAGCTTCAAGCTGTCTCCCATCAACCTAACTAGCATAAAGAATACTTTCCTGGGAACATATCTGGCTTTTAAAATAAATCTCTTTGATATTTTGATGCTCAGCTTAAATATTTCACAAACTATTAGTTTTAAGCCACAGAAAGGTTTGGTACATCTTTGTGCTGTCTGGCTTTGGGAGTTCTGGAAACTTATCTGTGATGGTTGGTCTTGACTGTCAACCTGATGGGATCTAGAGTCACCATGAAAACAAATTCCCATCATATCTGTGAGGGAGTTTTCTAGATTACAGGAACCAAAAAGGGAAAACCCACCTCAAATGTAGATTTCACCATTTCCGGGGCTGTGTCAAAAGCAGAAGGCCAGCAGAGCGGGAGATACATTCATTTCTCTCTGCTTCCTGACTGGAAGCTCCTGTAACCAGCTGCCTCGAGCTTCTGTTGCCACTTTTCCACGATAGAAAAATTCCTATCAAAATGTAAACTTTATGCCAGGTGGTGGTGGCATTCACCTTTAATCCCAGCACTCCGGAGGCAGAGTCAGGCAGAACTCTGTGAGTTCAAGGCCAGCCGGGTCTACAGAGGTAGTTACAGGACAGCCAGTACTGTTATACAGAGAAACCCTGTCTTGAAAGAAAAAAATGTAAGCCATAATAAACCTCCTCTCTTAAGTGAATTTTTCTTGTAGCAATAGGAAAAATAGCTAATAGGTTTCTTAACTAGCTATTCTCTTGACAAGTTTCCCAGAAGGAATACTTTGTATCAGGTTTCCTTTAGTCAATGTACATTTGTTGAGAACCTACGATTTGCCCCACGATTTGCAGGGCATTGTTTTAGACACAGGAATTCATAGTGAATTCAAGAAAAACTCTTGTCCTGACAGTCTTGTATCATAGTGATGAACTTAACTGTTCCCCAAATAAAAACAATCCCACATATGCTCAGACTACAATAATCTCTGTGTCAAATGAGTATTTGAGGTATGCATTCCTGGTATTCCTTTGCCTTGGATCCCATCTGCCCCTTATCAATTTTCTCCTTTATTTTTATGGAGCATGTCTATGACTATGGATTACTAGTGGTTCTTTGAGAATAATTTTAGATCAGAAATCATTTTTACTGCACATTTTAAAAATGTTCCCTACTGTCTTCTTTTCCCAGTGCGGCCTTTGTTATTGGTAAAGGATCATAGGCCTCCTCCTCCTCACCAGTGTTGTAAAGGGTGGTATGACAGTGAGGCCCATCCTCATTTACCATCTGGGTACTCCAAATACTTGCAACAAGAAATTCCATGCCTTTCATAGGATATTTACTTGTTTTCTTGTTTCTCTCTGTCTCTGTCTGTCTGTGGGGTGGGGGGGGGGTGCATGTGCCTGCCTGCCTGCTTGTCACTCTATACTTTGGAGGGGGTTTCTATTGTTTAAATGTTTACTTTTTAAACTCTTTTAATCATTTTTAATTTTCAAGAGCCTTATTTAGCTCTCAATATTCCTTTTTATAGACTCTTTTTTAAAAGTTCAGTGCATCCTAGCTCTCCGGGAGTACTGAAAATAGATTATTGTTCTTTCTTTGTAGGGTGGTCTTTGCATTTCCAGTCCTTCTCTGCAGATTCATATGTAAGAGGAGGCAATGAAGTCCTAAGCTATAAGGGCAGAGGAGTTGTTTGTGTCTGGACGGATGATAACTTTAACATGTTATTGGTTAAAACTTCACACTCACTACCAGTTGTTGCAAGTCTTCTGTTTGGGGTTCTTTATCACTCTTTAAGAGGAGTCCTCTGATTTCTTGTGTGGGGGCAGCAGGGTGAAGATCAGAATGGGAGATAAACCAAAAAGCAAGGAAAAGGGAGTTGAGAGTCTACCTTTTGTGATGGTAATCCTCCATTGTGTCTAGGACCCAGGACTCAGGAAAAGTACAGCAAATCCAGAGTCTAATTGTGGCCACTCCACATACCTCTGACCTAACTCCCTCCTTCCCCAGGTTTGCAGTCACTTTACCCTCTACCCATCCCATTATGTAACTGCCTACAGAGGAAGCCTCTGCTCCAAGCCCTGCTAAGTTGCTTGACCCCTCACATCTTTCCTCACTGCGTCTGCACATTCTCTTCTCTTTTGGCAAACCAGGTGAAAAGACTAGCCTAACAGGAGGAGATGCAGTCTTCATGGAGCCTTCCAGTCCCTGTACGCTCTTACTTCAGATAATTCCTACTGTTCATCACAAGAAAAATAAAGATCAAACTAACATCAAAACAACAGAAGTCCCTTCTGGAGAATATTTTTCAGATTCTCTGTGTCTGCCAGAGAATGAGTAAAGCACAGTGGCACAAACCCAGGCTGGTCCCTCTGAGAGGTGGACAGTCCCAA